GGTAATAGTAGTAGTAGTGATAATAATAGTAATAGTAGTAGTAGTGATAATAATAGTAATAGTAGTAGTAGTAGTAGTAGTAATAATAGTAATATTAGTAGTAGTAGTAGTGATAATAATAGTAATAGTAGTAGTAGTAGTAGTGATAATAATAGTGATAGTAGTAGTAGTAGTGATAGTAATAGTAGTAGTAGTAGTAGTGATAATAATAGTAATAGTAGTAGTAGTGATGATAATAATAGTAATAGTAGTAGTAGTAGTGATAATAATAGTAATAGTAGTAGTAGTAGTGATAATAATAGTAATATTTGTAGTAGTAGTGATAATAATGGTAATAGTAGTAGTAGTGATAATAATAGTAATAGTAGTAGTAGTGATGATAATAGTAATAGTAGTAGTAGTAGTAGTGATAATAATAGTAATAGTAGTAGTAGTAGTGATAATAATAGTGATATTAGTAGTAGTAGTGATAATAATAGTAATAGTAGTAGTGATAATAATAGTAATATTAGTAGTAGTAGTGATAATAATGGTAATAGTAATAGTAGTAGTGATAATAATAGTAATAGTAATAGTAGTAGTGATAATAGTAATAGTAGTATGTTAATGTAGTAGTGATTAACATAGGTAGTAGTAGTGAAAAATGGTAATAGTAATATGTAGTGATATAGTAGAATAGGAAATATAGTAATAGTAGTAGTAGTGAATAATAGTTAGTAGTATAGGTAAAGATGTAGTAGAGTGATAGATAGAAAGAGGTAAAATAGTAAAGAGTTGAAATAGATTTAAGTATAAATGGTAGTTGAGTAGAAGTAGAGTAGTAGGATAGAATATTGGTGAAAATAGGGGTGTGAGATAAAATAATAGAGTATAGGTATAATATTAGTAGTGTAAAGATGTAGTAGGAAAGAGTAGTTAAGAGAGAGTATATGTAAAGTGTAGTAGTGTTATAGGAGTAGTAGAATGTAGAGTTAGGAAACATAGATTTTAGAAAATAGAGTTAGATAAGTATAGTAAGATATAGGTTTAGGATTATATAATTAGAAGTAGTGTATAGAGTTTAGGGTAATAGAGAATATAATAGTAATAGTGTGGGTAGTGTTAATAGTAATAGTAAGTGATAATATAGATTAGGATAAAAAATAGTAATAGTAGAGTAATAAGAGAGTATAATAGTAATAGTAGTAGTAGTAGTGATAATAATAGTGATATTAGTAGTAGTAGTGATAATAATAGTAATAGTAATAGTAGTAGTGATAATAATAGTAATATTAGTAGTAGTAGTGATAATAATAGTAATAGTAGTAGTAGTAGTGATAATAATAGTAATATTTGTAGTAGTAGTGATAATAATGGTAATAGTAGTAGTAGTGATAATAATAGTAATAGTAGTAGTAGTGATAATAATAGTGATATTAGTAGTAGTAGTGATAATAATAGTAATAGTAGTAGTGATAATAATAGTAATATTAGTAGTAGTAGTGATAATAATGGTAATAGTAATAGTAGTAGTGATAATAATAGTAATAGTAGTAGTAGTAGTGATAATAATGGTAATAGTAATAGTAGTAGTGATAATAATAGTAATAGTAGTAGTAGTGATAATAATGGTAATAGTAATAGTAGTAGTGATAATAATAGTAATATTAGTAGTAGTAGTAGTGATAATAATGGTAATAGTAATAGTAGTAGTGATAATAATAGTAATAGTAGTAGTAGTAGTAGTAGTAGCAGTAAAGCGGCCCAGGAAGCAACTAACATAAAATATAAAGTCATGCAAATTAGCCCTTGAGTCAAATTCCTAAAACCCATTATCAAACCGTACAGTTAAGTCTACTCATACAGGAAACATTTCCGTAGCCTCTACTGACGTCAGTTTTGCTCTGAACTTGACTTAAGTGTCCAGCTCACAATACTGCCCACAAGTTGTAGGCTACCTTCCAGGTTAAACCAGGCGCATGCGCAAAATGACTTCAGCAAAGCACAGGAACTTTTCCCATTCACAAAGATCACACAGCGGAAAGCACGCAGAGGAAGACGGGGTGTGAATAATGCCTGAATCACGGTTTCACACACTGGGGGGAAAGAAGCTGGACGACATCTTCTCACACACGTGGAAGAGGAACTAACCTGCCGAGCCAAACCACCAAGAATTATTCTGAATATTCTGCTGTCCAGCACGTTTCATGGATCTGACAGCTTTGTGGCACGGAGTAGTGTTTCCGCTACTATAACTCAAACTAGAATCGCCGAGGTGGAAAGGTAAGTGGATAGTTTGTGTTTTAGAAGGTTACAGTTTAGGTCAGTCTTTTGGTTTGCATTAAATTAGTGCTTGGCGTGTTGTTCCTGCATAAACTTGATGTCTCCTTCGGGGAAGGACAGAGACCGCAGAGCTTTGTGAGCTGTCTGAGTACTTCCTTCTTCATAGACTCAGAAACCTCAAACTGTATCTCACTGCTTTGGAAAGCATCTCCACAATCACAAATGCACAAGTGCAGCGCTTGGATGAGTTGTCCTGAAAATGAGATGAGCTGTGTGTTCACTACAATTCATTTCACACTCATCTGCTCTTACAACACTGTTTTCACTTTCCAGCACTTGGAAAAATAGGACTGGATAAATATTGTGTCTGTTAGCATGGATTTTCTGGACATGTGTTTGACTTTAAATTATTAGTGTCCTCTGGTGTTTCTTGGTGTATAGAGTAACAAACATGTTTTTATTCTAGAAATTATACAAAAAGGGAGCTGTAATGTTCGTTGTTGCTGTGGTGGTACCTCAGTGCACAATGTACAACCCCAATTTTGAAAAAGTTGGGACAGTATGTAGAATGCTAATAAAAACAGAGAGGAGTGATTTGTAAATGTACGTTGACTTGTATTTAAACAAAAAAACATATAAATACAAGGTATTTGATGTTTTACCTAATCAACTGCATAGTTTTTTGAATCAGTAGCATTTGGGGCATTTCACTTTCTACAGTGCACAATATGATTAAAAGATTCAAGGAATCTTTTAGGGCAAGGGCAAGGCCAAAACCCTCTTCTGAATGCGCTTGATCTCAGATCCCTCAGACGTCACTGTCTTAAAAAATGTCATGAGTCTAATCGATATCCTGACATGCTCAGGAATATTTTAGTCAACCTTTGTCAGACAACACCATTCGCCGCTACATTCACAGATGCAAGTTAAGGCTTTACAATGCAAAGCAGAAGCCATACATTAACACTGTCCAGAAGCGCCGCCGACTTCTCTGGGCTCGGTCTCATCTGAGATGGACAGTAGCACAGTGGAATCGTGTTTTGTGGTCCAACAAGTCGACATTTCAAATACTTTTTGGACAAAACAGCAGTCATGTTCACCAGGTAAAAGAGGAAATGGACCATCCAAGCTGTTATCGATGTCAGGTCCAAAAGCCAGCATCTGTCATGGTATTAGGGTGTGTCAGTGCTCATGGCATAGGTAACTTGCACATCTGTTAGGGCACCATTAATGCAGAAAGATATGTACACATTTTGGAGAACATATGCTGCCATCCAGAGCAGGACAACGCCAAACCACATTCTGCAAGGATTAAAAGCGCCTGGTTGCATAAGGAGAGTGTGTGGGTGCTAGCATGCCCTACCTGCAGTCCTGACCTGTCTCTGATTGAGAATGTGTGGTGCATTATGAAGTGAAAAAGAAGGCAATGAAGGCCCCGTACATGCATAATGGATGAATGCTAAACTGGTGTCTTCAATGCCCAAATGCTTAATAAGTGTTATTAAAAGAAAAGGTGATGTTACACAATGGTAAACAAAAGGCTGTCCCAACTTTTTTGGAGTGTGTTGCAGTCATCAGATTTGAAATGAGTGTATATTTTAAAAAATAAATTAAATTCACAAAGTAAAACATTGTATAGTGCAGGGTGAATAGAATTTTCAAATGACTCTTTTTGTTTGTTTTTTTGCATTTTCCATACTGTCCCAACTTTTTTGGAAATTGGGGTTGTACCTTTAAAGCTTTACTCTAAACCGGAATTATGGTCCAATCATGTACCTTAAATGTTTACATAGAGTATTAAAGGTACAAATGACAAGGAAAGGTACAATTAACATTTTTTCCCTGAGACTATACATAACCCAAAACCTGGAATGGGTTAACAGTGTGGTATTTTAAACGGTTCCATGGTACCACTTACAGGCTCATGGTTGTTATGCAAAACTACCACAAACGCCTCCAAAGCACATACTTATAGACTTCCACTTCACCACGCCTGGACTTGCTAGGCTCATTTACACACCCTATAAGTAGAACTGTACTCTACCCCTCCTGCCTAAACACGAACTCTGTAATCTCTTCACATCATAGAAGTTTTTTTTTCTTTCTTCAAGTTGAAATGCCATCTATGAAAACATCTTATAAATCTCTGTCTAAAGGATTTTAAGAAAAGGCTGAACTATGAAATGTATATAGAACTTTAGTGTAGTAAAATAGAACATGATTATAGATTATAGACTATATAGACATATTAAATAACACAAAAAAAAAATTTTTAATATTAGAGTGAGTTTGAAAGTTTTTGTTTTTTTCCCAGGTAAGTGTGTGTCAGTGGGTGGGAATGCCCAGTAGGATGTGTGGGCTAGTGTTGCTATAGCAGCCATCTGCTGCTAGAAAATAGTATTCTTCACCATCCCACTCAGAGGCAGCCTATGCCAGGGGTGCCCAAACTTTTTAACACTAAAATCTTCCCACTGATTAGTTTTGCTCTGTGCACTTACACTCTCTCAAAAACATGCTAATCTGCTAGCTGAAAATAAATAAATCCTGAATCTAAAGTTAAATTATTAATAAAATGTTAATTATTGACACAAAGTGTCATAGACCTACAAAACCTGTCAGTAGACACTACAAATTGATCAGTAACTGATTTTTATTATAATAGTTTCAAGTACTGATTTATTTTGTTACACATTGAGCAATATTTATTTTGTTTTCAGATTTGTTGAATGACTAGAGGGGGCACGGTGGCTCAGTGGTTACTATGTTTGCCTCGCACCTCCAGGGTTGGGGGTTCGAGTCCCACCCCTGCCTTGTGTACTCGGAGTTTGCATGTTCTCCATTTGCTTCTGGGGCTTCCTCCAGGTACTCCAGTTTCCAGTCCAAAGACATGCATTGTAGGCGGACTGGCATCTCCAAATTGTCTGTAGTGTGTGACTGAGTGTGTGCGATTATGCCCTGCAATGGGTTGGCACCCTGTCCAGAGTGTCCCCCATCTTGTGCTCCAAGTTCCTTGGGATAGACTCCAGGCTTCTTGCAACCCTGTGTAGGATAAGAGGTTTTGAAAATGTATGGATGGCTGGATGGACGACTAGATCTGTGGAGAACCACAATTGTAACCCATTGCTGCATACATACAGTTACGTTACTAATAATTCTTATTTCTAAATAAATGTGAAATCTGCGACTTCGTGGATACCCTGTATATAAGATAAGCCTGATTCACATCTCACAATGGATAACTTGTTCACAGAGTGGAAGCAAAGCTTGGGTTTGACAGAAATTCTAATTTGACAGAAATTCTAATTCTAACATTTGCAGCAGTTGTGAAGCCCTGTTAAGTTTACATTATTGTAGGTTCTGTTTTTGTTTCTCAGTCAAAGGCTTTGTAATTTTGTAAAATGATATTTCATATTATTTTGATGAAATTAAAGATATGTTAACGACTGAGAATAGACAGGTTCAGTCAGAGAAGCTTGACACAGAAATATTAGGAAATTAGTCAGGTCATGACACACAGCACTCACATGACCTGGAGGAGGAATGAGCCCAGAGGGAGTTTCCAAAAACCAGTAAGAACAGGAGATCAGCAGGAGAAATATGGCACGTGTTTGTGAGGAAAATAACCGTAAACGGAAAAATTGACACAATCCATACGAGATGACTGGAAAAGAGAATAAAAAAGTTGAGTAGTTATCAAAAGGGGATTACAGAGGATAAGAATGGTACAGTTGTTCTTTGTAATTAACTTTTTATTAACAAAACATTTAAACTGTTCATTTCAGGACCCTAATGATTAGGACAAAAGTTTCTCATTACATAAAATGTATATAAAGTTCTATTTCATATCTGCAAGTTACAGAATTATTTCTTTATATTGAAATGTAATATGTTGTTTACAAATAAACTGCATCTGTGATGAGAAGCTTTTTGTAGAATTCTCACACAATAAGCCAAACACTTGCCTGAAATTTCAATGAACTTCATTGCACAATTAACCATATAAGATTATTCTAATGGAGCATTTCTTGAGACCTCAGGACTGCACAAGATGTGTGCTTGTGGGTGTCATCTGCTCAGGTATTGTTTAATATGTTTTAGATGCAGGAGGGCCATGTGTACGACTATCCAGATGCCCATCCAGTAGGAGAGAAGAGGACATGTCCTCAGAGAGGCTCCTTGAAGAGCATCAGTGTGCTGGACCGCCTGCTGCTCTCATACCCCGTATGGCTGCAGTTGTCCATCAACTCAGCCACAGCACTTCACATACTACAGCGTGAACCCCCAGGGGTGAGGAACACCTTCACAAATTGACACTGCCAGATGCTTTAACCCTCTTACCCCTACTTTCCCACAGTATTATGTCCCATAACCCTATATTTCACAGAGAAACAGCACGCCAACACTGAGTTCCTGGGCCAAAATCAACTTTTGAATTTTTAGTCCTTCAAACAACTTATAATAATGTATTTGTGGAACACGGCTAGCTTTTCGCTTTGGCATTTTTAGTTCACTTCTACTATTACACCAATATTCAAGCTTGGATCAGCATCATCGTAATGCTGGCATAATAACGTAATCACGTCGTGATGTCATGACGTCATCAACCTTCCGGGTCAAAAAATAATAAAGAAATAAGTAAGGAATCATAGCAGAGTAATGCCGGAATACCGGATTTACGGGGATAACATTTACATTGTAAATCCGCTATATCGGCTTTACGGGGATTTGGCATAGACGGGCAAGCCGGTTTTTCGGCCATACGGGGTAAGAGGGTTAATGCAGGGGTCCCCAACCCCCGAGCCACAGACCGGTACCGGTCCGTGGATCATTTGGTACCGGGCTGCATAGACAGAATAAATAACTTTCATTATTTCCGTTTTATTTATTATCTGAGTCTGAACGATGTTTTATTTTGAAAAATGACCGGATTCTCTCCATTACATCCGTCTGACTCACTCTTGACACGTCAACACACTTGTCTCGGTCACGTGATGCGTTACTGCTAAAAATAAACCCACAAGCTAGCAAATTGAGTAAAAAACAAATGTCTCTGGAAAGTTTCTCTGTGAAAGGGGAAAAGCAAATAAAGTTGCGATTTCACGTTGGATTCACGTTTATTATTATATTTAAAAATACCCAAGTTTTTATGCCAGTTGTATCATTTTATTTTGTTGTATTTATCCACCACACCTTAAAGGCCAGTCTGTGAAAATATTGTCTGATATTAAACCGGTCCATGAGAATGCCTAATTCTCAAAATTCGTTCAACTTTGTCACAGCCTCTGGAAAGGTTAAGGTTCTCTCCACTCCCATAGATCTGGCATAAACAAAAAAAACACTAAGTCTTCAAGTGTTTCCTGGGAAACTGCTATAGTTTCAAACAATATAAGCCTCACAAGATTAAGAATCCTGGACACTCTCTCTCTCTCTCTCTCTCTCTCTCTCTCTCTCTCTCTCTATATATATATATATATATATATAAAAATTTAATGTTTACTCCACATTTTGTAGACTTTCCTGGTGCGAAAGTCCAGTACATCCCAGAAGAAAATGCTGTGTCTCAGGCTAACAGATGACAGTGTGCCATCTTTTGTCAAACAGTTTGTCATCCGAGAGAAGGACTCAAGTGAGTAATATGATAAGCAAGAGACAGAACATGATGGTCATTTTATATATATATTTTAAATTAAAAATTTTATTCAATTGGACTGAGTTTGGTGTTGAACAATTACATTTGATGAATGTGGATATTCACTAACAGTCATCCTCTATCCTCCCAGCCTTCTCTTTGGAGAGCTCAGCCATCAGCTTCCCAGATCTTTGTAGACTCATTGCCTTCTACTGTGTCAGCCGGTATTAATCATCTAGTTTCTGACACTTCTTATTCAGTTTTTTTACTGTTTTTTTTTTTGTTTTTTTAATTCAGTTATGCATTTAATTAACTTTACATTAGGGATGTTCTTCCCTTCACTCTCGAGTTGCCAGAGGCCATAGCCAGGGCTTCATCCCACAAACAGTTGGAATCTATCTCTCATATGGGTGTGGGTAAGTACATGGTGATTTTACTGTAGACTGGTCATCCAAGTCATTTAAAGACTATGGAAACTCAGTTTGTGACAATCTATATTTACTATCATTACAATGTAGGTTGTGGTATGAGCAAAGGTTAGGTTTAGTTTCAGCAGTGAAACTCAGGTTGGACTATAATTAAGATATAAAAATGGTCAAAACCTTCATTTTCGAGCTCCTTTAAGTACTTTTGTACAGCATAACAATGAACATTAAAATAATCCTTTGCCATTTTTCATACAGAGTTCTGGAGTTCCCAGTTAAACTTCCGAGGGCCTCGGAATGGTCCTCCACCAGTACATGATGCATCTGTACTCTCAAATCCTAAACCACAACACTCTACCACATCTTCTAGCACCAGTGAAACATTGTTCCAGGAGTTCTGCCCAATTCACACCAGAAGTCCTTCTGAACTTGATTTGGGAGCAGGGCAGGGAGCATTATGCTTCATAAACCCACTATTCCTACAAGAGCATCCCAATCGTGGTGCCATGCACAAGCGCCATCACTTTAAACACAGTATAAAGGTTCGCGTCTCCACTGAAAACTCCAGTTTACTCTCACCCCCCATCACCCCACCACCACCTCCACCACTACTTGCAAAAACCAAGAGTAAAGGAAAGAATGTGAAGCAAACTGAAGTGGTTCAGACCAACGAGGAGGAAAAGAACAATGCTGAAGTTGTTGAGGGAGATTCAGATTATCTACAGCCTTGTCTTGCTCTCCTGAAAAAGGCTTCAGCAATAGTCGCCCCGACCCTCTCTCCTACAGCTGAGGAGGAGGAGTATCAGTTGCCCAAAGCACTTCTGCAGGTATAACACACACTGCCCTCAATCATACAGTGCCATCAGTGTATAACTAATGATTGCACTATAATGCATGAATGAATAGGATATTCCTTAATAAAATGCAATTCACAGTAAAGTTTCCTTTGTATGGTTTAGTCATTTGCTTTACAACTTGTGCATATATATACACACAGGCGCAAAGAAAAATCACAGTGGAGAGTGAAGAGGAAAATGAGGATGAAGACATTGGACTAGTACTTGAGAAAAGAAAGGCACCATCCCTCACCGAGTTGGACAGCAGCAGCTCCCTTAGCAGCCTTGATGAAACAGATGAGAGTCCTCAGAGGCCTTCCCTCACACGGGGCACTAGTAACCCTATCATCCCTTCTCCTCATCTTCCCCACCAGTCTGTTTCGGCTCTGCAAAAGATGAGCGCAGCCTTTGTGTCCTTCTTTGTGCCAGGGAAGAGAGTCATACGGCTGGTGGAGGACCTTTCTCGTGACAGGCGTATAGCATTTGGGGCTCTGGTACAGGACTTCTTGAGGGAGCAAAGGGAAGCGCTGAAGCCACAGTGCCTAACAACCACCGTGGAGCTGCTGCAAGGTTTGCGTCTCTTTATCGACCAGGCTAAGGTGTTCCTCTTGGAATGTGGAGAACTTGAGCCCCCCATTGAGACCCTAGTGCCCGAGGATGAGAAAGGTACACAGCACAGACTCCCAAAAATTTTTGGAAGTGCCTTTTATATAAACACTTTACTTCTAAGCATCATGAGAATAAGCTAGGTGTGTCTATACGTGTGTTTTTGCAGAACAGACACTGGAAAAAGCCCTGTTCCGCTGTGTACTAAAACCTCTGAAAGGGCAGATTGATACAGCACTCTATAATATGCATGAACATGACGGGTCCTTTAAGAGGCTGGCTGAAAGTATGAAGAAAGCCAGAGATGCTTCACCA